GCCTGCGCGAGATGGAGCCGAAGCCGTTCCTGGCGAGTTCGGTCATCTTTGCACTCGCTCTCAGGGGTCTTCTCAGAGTTGGCACGCTTGTTCCACCTGTGAACGCTACGCTCAGAGGGTCCCAAGGGTTAACAAGATTCGTGCTCACGCGATGAGGTCTGCACCCGCGCAGAAGGTGCGGCCTTCACCAGTAATGATAGAAACCCTGCAGGATCTCATTAGTGCGGCGCGAAGCGTAGAGCATGCGGTACACATACCAGATGCTAGGTTCCTCCTCTACCCAACTCAAGATCCTGTCAATGTCTGCATCCATAGTGGGCGTCATGGCATTCAGAGACTTCGGCCTGTTCAGCGTGAGCAGGAGGACATGCTCTGCCGGAAACGAGACCTTGATTTCTCCCGAGTACTGGGGGACCCGATATTGCATCTTGGCGGACAACAAAAAGGTTTCGAAGGAAAGGTACAGATAGCGTTGAGCAAGGCCTTCGTGACGGTACACGGCAATTGCAATTCCTGCAGGCCGGAAACCGTGCTTAAGATACACCCGACCCCCGGATTCACAGGCCCCTCAGGCCGAGACAGCAGTGTTTCAATGCCTTGACGAGCATTCAAATCAAACGTTCATCCATGGACTAGATGATACAAGCCGTTAGCCTCATGACGGGAAAATGAGATTGTAGCCTAGAAGCGATGGGGTCCTAGGACCCCAGGGCTGGGAGCAGCCCATCGCGGACGAAGATACGGCAGCAGACTAGAGAGCAATATCTACAGAAAATAGAGTACTAGTCTTTGAGATAAAACTCCCAAGTCCGATCTTCGCCGCCTTGTCCTGTGGTCCCTGTACCATGTACACGCTCTCCCTTCGTCATTTTGTGCTGGTAGCCTTTCCACAGGCTGCGGTGGAAAACGAACGATCGGAGCTGGACGTAAGACGGATTCGTGGATTCGCCTGATGCCTTTGGTGGCGGTGGACTCTTGGCCAGTCGAGGAAGATCCCTGTAGTACGTAGAGAAGTTAGCTCACATTTCATTCAAACGGCTTATGCAATAAATACGTGCCATAGGGTGTATGGCGGCACGTTTCTTAAAGTCACAAGGATGGTGCCACGAATTTCAGCAGATCCTGAGCCCTCAGCTTCATCGGCGGACTCGCCGTCTTCTCGATCGGAACTGTCTGCCTGCCTCTTCTTACGCGAGGCCAAGGAGGGAGCCTGCCCCCTCCTGAGCAGATGAGCGGCCGACCTCAGAAAACCCAGAAGCAGGACTTGATTACTCAAGATATTGCGGTCTTGGTCAGCGATACCCTTTCCTGGAGATGATAAGTTAGTGGGAATTGGATGGCGCGGATGAGGGACTACGTACCTGCATGAGGAAAATTCCACATAATCTTGTCAAATTTGCGATTCCGCAGAGTGACCACTTTCTCAAGCTTGGTAGCGTCTACGTCGAAGAACACTTCCGCGCCTTTGGCACGGATCTCCTCGACGATGGCTTGCGCCTCGGGATACTTTTCAAAACACTCGGCCTCGGTATCATAAGTTGTCGCTACAACACTGCTTGCCGGGAGATACTGTAAGGCAGGTGGTGGCTCGGAGACGAGAGCACGCGTGAAGGAGAAGCTGCCTTCTCCAATAAGCAGTATCGTATCGGTGGGGTTAAATGGTAAAATGACATCCTGGGCAGTCGTAGCTTTTGCTTTGCCCTTGGTATCTTTCGTCAGCGGCGCCCTCTTGCCCCGCTGTTCTGCAGCTTGCGCGGCTTGAATCGCACCCTGTTTCTTCTTCAGTCGGGACTGCTGTGAGGAGAGCGCTGATTTGAGTGAGGCCTTTCTGGCCATCGTGAATGTTGCGGAGTGATCTGAGCCAGATCCATCGGGAAGCCTTCGAGTTCTGAAAGCGGATGCTGGCAATTGCAACGTGGTGTGGGCGCCAAGTGGTACAGACACGTCGCTTGGGTAGTCCAGACGTTGCTTCAACACCACCAGTCAGTATACCCAGCCCAGTCGTTTCTTTTAACTATCCAAGTACTCGCCAATCATGGTCTGTGTTACCAAATTATATGCTGTGTTCACGCTCAATATCTGCTCGTTATTAGCCAACCGAATTTGAGATGCGCCAGAGGAACGCTCAGTTCGCGAACAGAGCGCGGGCTGGCAAGAACCCCGTAAAACAGTCTCGTCAGGAGAGGCTCGCGAAGCGGAGTCCAATCAGCTTGTGGGCACTCGGCGCTATTGTTTTTGTTGTCATGGGCGGTGGTACGTCTACATTCCGCTCGTCTGACCTTCGCTAACACTGTTGCATAGTTATCTTTGAGCTGCTGAGGCTCATCTTCTTATAACCCCGCGCGTATGTAGATGGATGAAGCACCTCAAAATAATCTGGAATCACGATGTATCACAAGGGTCTCGTCGGCATTTAGTTGAACTTGCTATCTATCATGCTTTGTCTCCACTGCCTCCTGCCGTACCGGACTCCGTGCTCTCGACACCCTGCATCGCTGACTCGTCTTCAAGCTCCTTCTCGTCAACCTTGACCTCCTCTCCCGCCCAGATACGCATCGTCGGCTGCCACACCATAACAATGTTGTCTTCTGAAGTGCTCGAAGCCGTCCAGTTCTCGCCTTCGCCGGGTGCCCAGCAGAAATCCGTGGGCCTAGCCGTGTGGCCTGCAGAACAATGTTAATATCATGAATCAACCCTAATCCATTTTACCTACCACCGTGGACGAATATAAGCTCCGGAGGACCGTCTTCCTGATCGTCAGGCGTCTGTTCGAAACCAATTCTTGACAGGTCCCATGTGTTAATCCTCCTGTCGCTCGAAGCTGAGGCGAAAATGCTCGGGTTGTGAGGGGACCAAGTCAAGTGCAAAACTTCGTCTGTGTGACCGTCGAAGGTGTGTAGCTTGTTGTGAGTATTGCGCATATCGTGCAGGGCAATAGTCTATGCAGCATTTCAATGAGTTTTAAATCGTTACGGGCGTGCACAGAAGAACAAACGTTGTCTGCACTGCCAGTCAAAAGCAAGTGCTCGATCGAAGGGCTGTACGCCACCGCCAAGATCTCCCGGTCATGGGCCTGCAATTGAAAAACTGGTGCCGAGGATGCCCTCGTATCCCAACTGCAATGCTTACGTGAGCACACTCGACATATCCGTCTCATACAAGGAATATGGGACGTACACCATGAGCATCTTGTCGTCTCCAACACTGGCAAAGTTCCAGTCTCGTGTTGCATGCCAGTCGACATCCTATCAGAGGCCAGGTTAGGGCATAGCAGAGCTCCGTAAGACTAATTCATATACCCCAACCACGGACGTGTGACCACGGAAGACGGTTGTCGGCTCAATTTGTGTTTTCGCTTTGGTGTAGGAATTAATGTCCCTGAAGGCGAGAGCTGACGAATTAGAAGGAAGGTTGGGGTACCTGTGCCGAGCTTACCAGTGACAAATAGTCATGTCCTCCGAGGCACCGAGAATATGGCCCTTCTTCACCGGGCTCCAGGCAAGGCCATATCTGACAAAGGTTTAGCTCTTCGCATCATTCAAACAATGCAAAACTTCACCCTTCTTTGCGCTGTCCAACCAAGGTGATATCGGGCCTGCACTGACCGCCGCGCTCCGGCTCGCTAGGGTGCTTCGTACGGTCGAACACATAGATCTCGCCCGACACAGCCTTTGTCGCGATGAGATCGGGATTCTGGGGCATATAACGCGCCCTGTTGACCTCCCCCTTGTGGTTGATTTTCTGGATGATGTTAATGCGTGGCTGTGGCGGGATAGAATGGCCACCGAGCTCGCCACGCTCGTCGTCATAGTCTGACCGGTCGAGCTTATCGGCGGAAGGGCTGCCATCACGTTTTGGAAGGTGTAGTTCAGCGATTTGGAGGTAATCCTGGGCTTGGCCAGACGTGTGCGTGCCGAGCAGGAGACGATGGACAGTGTAAGGCTTATTCGGTGGTCTGCATAGCGGTTGGAAGGCGTGGATGCATGTATGGTGTCTATCATACTCACGACTCCTTGTCAGGGAACCACTGACACGTCAGGCTGGGCCAGTCCAGCGCGTGAGTGATCACGACATCGTACAGGAACGGCGCGTTCTTTTTCCTGAAAACGCGGCTAGTGAGGCAAAGAGCAGTGCAAATGACATGTAGAACGCGCACCATGTCTTGTATTCCTACGTAACGAGCTGAAATTAAGGATAAAACTGCGAATAGAAGGTCAACAGCGCGCACCTCGTTAATGAGCTTGTTCTCCTCCTCGGCCTGAAAGTCATCCTCCTCTTCTTCCAACATTTGGGGCTTCATTGCGTACAAACTAAGAGCACAGACACGAGAGGGGTATGTTTCACGGCGGTGGTAGTGGTTCAAGTACCGGACCAAGTGCAAAGTGCCTTACTCTGATTACGCGCCCGAGATGTGCCTCTGCCGCTGGCTTTGTGCAAACTCAACTGTACATTCAATCCTACTCTACGTAGTCCTCTATTGATGCACCACCCATAGGGCATTAATAATGGCAATTGCGGAAAATAACAGATGCGGGCAGTTCGTCGCGAATATACAATGCCATTAGGTATGCGCCAAAAGCTATAGGTACCAGGCGGGAATGCTAAGTCTAAGAGGGAAGAACACCCGGATAGGTTGTGTCAAGGTTATTTTGACTCGCTCTCCCACTTTGCAATAAGCTTCTCCAGGTCGAATCGTGGGTCTTCCGGGTTTGTGACGACTGCAAGAGTTCGACATAAATGACTTGCAGTGCAACCGTAGCTGGCAGAAGACTTACCGCCGTCCTTGGAACCCTCCTGTTTCTTCTTCCACGCCTCCTTCGCCTGTGCGATCAAATGCTCGCGCTCGTGAATGGCGTGCTCCTTCTTCTCCTCATCGTGAGCTTTTTGAAGCGAGCGGCGGTGGGTGATACCGTAGAAGACACCAGACAAGAGAGCCGTGTAACGTACCACCTACAGAGCAGAATGCCAGCTCAGAGTCTCGGTTGCGTGGTATACTGGACAGTAGAACGTACGTTCACGGTGGAGGAGGCCATGTCTTCGCCTGCTTAGTTCCGACCCAACGAGTGTGTTATGGGTTAGAGGAGAGAACTAGAGAGCAGAGTATCTGAGAGTAGCATCAAAGGAGTATACAGTCGTGCTTACAGGCGACTCAGAGCCGGAGGCCAAAGTGATTCGTCGAGGGTGAGGTTCGCTACGCGAGAAAGTCGGGGTCACCCGCCGGAGTGTCATCACGTGCAACTTTCCAGAGTGACGCCCAAAGGGCAAGACGGGAGCTTGTTCCTCCTCCGACGCTGTCTTGAACCAATCTTGTTTGGAGAAAAAATGCGCTACATTATTGGTACTACAGACGAACCCTCTCTACCGGCCAGACAGCCTCTCGATGATTATTTCGAGGTTGTGTCGTGCCCGGGTTATAGTGCGATCCTCGTAGACACCATATGGGTGTAAGAATTGAATCCTTTCCTAGGCATGTCTAGCGTGTACCATTCCCAGATGTATATATCCAGTTCCTACACCCATTTCTCCGGTCTCATATATAAGCTGCTGCGACATACCAGCGCTCTGATTGTGTTGCAACTTGGGTCAGTTGCCGCCTGATGTCAGTGATTGCTCTTCTCACTACCAAGTGCTGCCCTTCACCCGAACCTGCTATGCGCTGAATACGGACAGCTCCTAAACACAACAATGTTCCGCGTCTCTCCCTGGATCCAATACGATCCCAACGGTGAAACACAGCAAGATCACTCTCGTTCCGACCACCGTTTTCGCAACATGAACGAGGATGTGGACATGGACGCTCCGCAAATCTCGACACTCAAGGAGGAGGAGACACCTGAGCCCCAGCCGAGTCCGGGACGGCAGACTAAATTCAGAGTGAAGCTTGTCATGAACGATAACAAGCTTCGGGCTGCTCCCCCTGCTGGGCCCTCAGGAAGGAAGGAAGAACCCAAGCTCGAGTCGGAGGACGAGGAAGACGAGGATGAAGAAGAGGATCAGCTCATTGACGACGACGAGGAGGAACCTAGAGCAGGAGCTCCGGCCGCCGTCGTCCCCGCTCCTGTCCCCACCGAGAAACGGGGAGCTGGCGCCAAGCGAGGCACTACGACTGGTCGGGGGAGAGGTAGAGGCCGAGGGGCTAGGGCAAAGGCAGGTATTGCGCGTACAGGTTCGTAGCTTCAGTACAGTCGTATCGTCGAACCTCACATCGGTCACTCTAGATACATCTCCGATCATTGTCTCCGGTGTTACCACGAGCACCGATGGTCTCGGTACTATCACAATTCCTGCAAATACTTCACTCTCTGCGCCTGGTGTCAGTCCGCCCAGGAAGCGAGGAGGCGCACCGAAAGCGGCGGGGCAGCGTGCTCCTCGCAAACGCGCACCCAAGTAAGGCTTCTCGTACAAAACACATCCCTCGCGCCGCTAACTGTTGCAACTAGAACTTCCAAGGCCATTCCACCCCATATGAGAGACGATGTGAATGTATTCAGTGACGGTATGTTGCTACCGATTCCCTTTAGAGGCTGTGTTGAACATTCCATTCTGAACAGTGTATGTAGGAACGGGAGCTTCCACTCCGCCTCATGATGAACCCAGTCCTCACTTTGACGATCTACCTTTGCCAAGTCATACCATCCCAATCGGACCAATTCCGGCCGACGAGGATATCAATTTGGAAGGCGTGCCTCTCCCTTTATATCCTCTCCCGACCAAGCCCTTCCCTGTGCTCCCTGCCCCCAAGATCCCGACTGGCCTAGCTCCCGTCATGCCACTTGACAAGAGCGGCAAAAAAATTCGCAAATGGCGTCAGGCTCAGCGTGAGATTAGAGGCATAGCTGGTGGACGATGGTTTGCAAAAACGTGGATAGGAGACAAAGAGTCTGAATACGCCGCCGCGCATGCCGTGCAGCCTCCCCCCATCCCGGCTGCCACGCAAGCGACCGCTCTTGCTATGATTGGAGGTGGTGAACTTCTGCCAGGCATGGGCACCCTTCCGATCCCCAGGTTGTCTGGGGCGACATCCGGGCGGGGAAGAGGCAGGGGTGGGTTCGCCACTCCCTCATCGCGAGCTCAGTCCGCGGGTGCAGACTCTGTCTCTGCCCCCAAGAAGCGCACCACGCAATCGTCGTCTCTGGCAGATACCCCCTCCGGCCCTGACTCTGTGCTCTGATGCTCTCTTGACTGCTTTGCGCTCAATTATTTATTTCCTCGTCTGCAGCGTATGTACTACTTGTAATCCCATGCTGTCCACAGCTAGAATAGTCCGTGTCATTGGATTATATTAATTTCTTGCCTTGCGTGTGTGGTGTAGCAGGCGATGACGAAACGTAGTCGCGCAGTCGCGTCTGCCATGATTCCACGTGCGCTTGAGACCGTGACTGCACAGCGATACCTGCTTCGTTCTCCACTCTCATTTGACTTTTCATTTCTTTGTGGTACAGCATTCTGAACCTGAAATGTCGGATGGCGGGCCGTCACAGTCGGATGGTGCTCAGTCAGATCTGTACTTGAAGCTGGGTGTAACTGCATCCGGGGGTACGTGACGCTTGAATTGTACGCTGAACCGTAGCTGAAGTACCACCCAGTCGTCCCACCTGCCTATGCCAATGATCCTAAATACAAGAAGTATACACAGCAGGTTGAGAAGTGCCTGATTTCCTTCGACAGTGTCCACGAATGGGCAGACTTCATCTCGTTCCTAAAGCAATTGCTGAAGGCAAGTGAAGTGCTATGCCCGCGTATAGACCAGCCCTTGAGCAATTAATTAGACATTCCAAGCGTATATTCAATTTAAGGAGATTCCACGGAAGGTCATCGTAGCGAAGCGGTTGTCACAATGCCTCAATCCCGCGCTACCTACAGGAGTCCACCAGCGAGCTCTAGACGTGTATGCGCATATATTGGCGGTATTGGGTGTACGTATCTGTTCCAAGTACTACGTATGACACTAACTACCGTGCGCTCGTCAGTCGGAAGGCCTGCTACGTGATTTGCCTCTCTGGTCATCAGGCCTCTTCCCATTCTTTGAGTACGCCGCTACATCAGTCAAGGTATGTCCATGACCGAGGAAACCAGATACCCTGACATAGACATGTCTTAAGCCCACCCTTTTGAATCTGTTCGACACGCATTATCTTCCTCTACAAGCTGGTCTTCGTCCAGTCATGAAGTCCTTCATTCTCGCCCTGCTGCCCGGACTGGAAGAAGAAAACGGCGAGTTCTTCGACAAGGTCCTTGGCCTTTTGGACCGCTTGTCCGGAACTGTGTCGCCATCCTTCTTCCTCCAAAATATCTGGCTGGTCATGTTGACATCCCCATCCTCGCGGGGCACTGCATTGAACTTTCTCTCGAGGAGGCTGCCCAAACTCAAGCCCGACGAAGGTACATATATACTCGATCCTACTCCTTTCCCAGATATTTACTCATTTTGAGGCGATAGATATTGTTACTATAGTGGGTCGAGACATTGGTCTCATGATCAGGGCTGTCTCTGCTGCTCTCGAAGACGACGACTCCCTCGTTCGAAGAGGAGCGCTCGATGTCCTCTGCCAGTCCTTGCCATTGAATAGCATTGCAGTTAAGAATGCCCCGGAAGAAGATCGTTCGATCCTCATGCGTGCCGCTACGAGCGTGGTGTTGCGCAGGGACTTAGCCCTGAATCGTCGCCTATATCATTGGCTCCTAAGCGCAGACGAGAACACTCAGCAGCAGATGCAGTATTTCAAGGTGCATGGCCTTCCTCTATTAACGACGACTCTAAGGGTAGGTCAAGCTACGAAATACCTACGATTTAGCTGATAGTAGTGTTTATAGGAGGATATCTTCGGCCCTTCCGCCGAATACTCCCCGTCTCGTCCCTTCAAGATCTTTATCTCTCTGCTGGACAAGTGGGAAATTGGAGCACCTTTAACAGAGGCGCTGATTTTCGATGCCTTCCGAGCCCTTAAGCAGGGCATTGAGTCGGGAGCCGACCCAGGCGACGAGGTTGGGATATATTGCTCCCTTTGAGAATTCTGTCACTCATGTGATGCAGATGTCTATGACTGCAAGTACTCTCTATGAAGCCGTTGAGCCGCTCGCACTCTGGAAACAGCTCCTAAACGCTGCACTGTCTGATGTATGCGCCGAAGACGATCGGGTCGAAGGCATCAAGATGGTAGCATTTATTGTTACTACATTCCATTCGCATGACGAGGAGGTAGAGGCCATCCATCTCCCAATATGTTTCGCGGCAACGTTGGAGGCGTTGGTGGTGAGTTCGCATCCAACCTCCTTGGTAATGTCTTGAGCTCATAACGCGTAGGTTTCTGCAAGAACGAAGCCAGGGCATATATCACGTAATTCGTCCATGGAATGTCTCGCCTTGCTATATGAACTATCCAAGCACATCCGGATAGCCTATCTGAAGGAGTGGCCTGGTATCACAAGTGACGAAGCGAAGTCGACTTCCGGTCAGCCGGCCTATGCTTTCGCGTGCACATTTTATGGCATTGAGAACGCTCCCGGTTTTGTTGTCGAGAGTCAGGCGACTTCTCCATTGGTCGCAGTCCTCGATGATATGACAAACCTCAGCATGTACTCCGCTAAAGCACTTTCGACGAACCCGGCGAACCTCTCCATCCGCGAAACCTTCGTCAAATCCCTTGTGCTTTTAAGAAACATGGCACAGCAGCTGCAGGTCAACGCTGAACAAGCTGTCACTCTAGCTTGGAAACCGGACGAGTGGTTGTCTTCAGTGCTGGAGTGCATCAAGGACAAGGTATTTGCTTCTACTTATCATGACTTTCGTAAGCCGACAATGACCAGGCTACAGTATTCCCGGTGCTCGACAATTCGGTGTCTACGGTGATCGTTTTGCACGAAACCACTTGTCTAGAGCCGAGGTTGTCCATAGACAAACGAAGTGCTCTGTCGGCGTTGGGCATTCCCGTAAGCATCCCTATGCAACATGCCAAATCTGTCTAACAGTAACCGTAAGCTGCTGAGACATCTACGCCCAGCTTGGTCGTCATACCACCAACGCGCTGTTAACCTTATTTGGTCTCTCGAGAACACTGCTGGTTCTCATCAAATAGTTGCCATCATCTCGCAGAGCTTGACATCTCGCGACTCGCTTGAGGTTCGAGAAGCTTGTGAGGCTTTCGGAGTATTGTGGCGGTTAACAGGTAAATACTTTTCAATCTACACTGTGAGACTACTGACATCACCCAAGACGATAGCGCTGCCCTGGGTTTCAGATTGAAAGTACCCATGATGATTGTCCTCGACACGCTGAAGAGTGATGACCCCAATTTACGAAGGATCGGCGAGACTTGGATTCGTTGCAGTCTCAAGAGCTATCTGCGGTATTCCCATCCAAGATTTCTGTATCACAAGTGCTCACAACCGTTTCTAGTATCCTTGACCCATTAATCTATGACCTATGTGACCCTGCTATAAGACGATCCACCGTCGTGCCAGAGCTGAACGGAAGGCCGATCGAACGCTACGAGTACGACCGCCCCTTCGACCAGCGGTATATCATCCATGTTATGAGCATACTGCTTTCTGTCGTGAAGCTTGGAGGCCAAGGGCTGAACAAGCTTGCTAGAGCGACGCCCATAAGTCGATCGTCTCATGCAGCAGTTCGTGAGCGAGCAAGAAGCGGTAAGCGTGTTTGCCGACTTCGAAATTCGACTGAAATGCTAAGCTTGTGAAGTCGTCAACAGTGCACCAGAAACCAGCTACATGGATGTCATCTTGAGTGCCTTGTTGGGGTACGTCCAATCTCTAACGAATGACAGGCCGTATTAACCTCAGGCACGCAGTTATCTCAAGTCGGAGCCGAAGTCCAAACTCTCGTTAACGATGGGTCCGTCCAACGAGATACTACAATCATCGGTCGTCGACCTCCTACAAGCCCTGATTGCACGTGGAGAAGTTGACCTGATTTTGTTACAAGCCACAGAGAATGACGTTGTCGGGAAACTGTTTACTTGTGTCCACACTGGAAGACTGGATATACAGAACAGGCTCCTACACCTCCTTCACTCCGTCATTTCCGCTTCTAGCGCAAGGATTCAGTATGATTCATCCCGTGGCCCCAAAGCTCCCGAGCGAGGACCTGACAGCGGTGGCAAGATATCTGCACCTCTGTTTACAGTCAATCCCTTGTTCACACAGACCTTAATCGACGGTGTCTCGATACCCTCCAATCGCGCTATCCTACAACACTGGCTGGACTTCATCCTCATGACGATACCCCAATTTCACGACATGCTCCTCCCGGCTATTATACCTCTTAACGACTGTATCTGCCGCCAGCTCAGGGACGCTCTCTCCGAGGTTGCTCAAGCGTCAGAAATGAACGCCTCGCTGGCCGACGTATCCGTGTATACTACGGATGCAGACTTCATCATGTTGCTAAACGCCTTGGAACGTTTAGTTCTTTTGAGCTTGTCACAGACACCAGACTCGAGTCAAGTGGAGGACGAGATGCTGCCTGAAAAGTCTGGCCAGGATGCCGGCGGGCTTCTAGGGTACGTATCCAATGTCTTCAGTACCGACTCAGGGCCTGTGGCATCCGAGGACCCAGCGCAGGTGATTCAGAAACCTATCTGTCTTTGGTACGCGATGCTAAAGTCCTAATGACAGATCAAACCTTCCGACCCTCGTTGCATGCAGGAAGCGATCCGAGTTCTTTGGGCTTTATGGGAGCAGCTGGTCGTTCCGCCACAGCCGCACTGGGGCTCGCAAGAAGAATCTTTGACCCTGATCTACACTCGAGCGAGAACGCGCTGTCGCCGTGTGTTGGAACACTTGTTCAAGGCACATCCCCTGGAAGTGCTGGAGTCAGTGGTCGAGTGCTGGTATCGTAATACCACGGTAAGTGGCATAATGGCTCTCCTGGCGTCCAACTGGCTAATATATCCATAGCGAGATGACTGGGCATCGTTTGAGCTAGTCGATGCCTTGACCTCCAGTGCGCAGAATGTAGTTCACATGCTCTGCGAGACCATTACAGTGCGAGTCCCTGGAATGACCGACCGACCAAGGCGGCATACGCTCTGTCCTTCCACGTAAGCAATCTCTGCACTCATGTCTAAATTGACGATAGATGAGAACCCGCTTGCAGTTCGGATATTATGCTCTTCGAATTTTTTGAGCAGTATCTGGGGCGTCTCGAGGGTCCCCTTGCCGTACAAGTCTGGAGTCGTTGCTTGCAGTTCTTCAAGGATCTGCTTGCTACCTTCCGCGAATTCAAAGTTCAAGTGTATTACGGCTTACGGTAAATTAGATTATCGCTTAGCGCATTATCGGAAGCTCACATAGTACCCAGATGCTTGACGGTCTTGACGGACAAGCTGGCGCAGACGACCGCGCTGGAGGACAAACGAGTGCGGAAGGATCTTCAGGTGAGCTTAACGCGCTCTGTGCGATGTCTTCCACTAACGGTGGCCTAAAGGACACGTACAGCAAAATGGTAGAGTTGTGCCTATTTGCGGGAAGATCGTATGACCAAAGTAGCTGGATTCGTCGCGGGCAAGCCACATTCGGCGTGAATGGAACTGGACGAGAGTCCCCCGTCCCTCGTGGTGCGCTCACCTGCTCAATACCCTTGTGGATACCTCTGACGTAACATTAGTACGATCCGAGCTGAAAGTAGACGAGAAGCTGAACTCCAGCTCCACGTCTCTGCCAGCTTCTGTTGCGGATGCCGCCAAAGCCCCATCGTCATCATCCGACCTGGTAGACCACGTAAGCCGACACATACATGCATGTTCATCCACAATTAACTTTGCATAGGTCAACCTTTATCTTGCTTCAGACGTCGTACCGAGATTACGCAAGTTTTTGGCCGAGCCGGACAAGATTTTGACCCTGTCCAGCAGCATAGTGACGACAGTAGTTTCGCCCTCGTTGAGGAGCCGAGCGAAGTGAGTGCGCTCTCAGATTCGCTCTCACACCCGTCTAACTACTCGATAGGCCTCTAGATGTGGACGAGACGATACTCGGCATTCTGCGCGAGCTGACCAAGGTCGCATCCTCAATCAAAGCCTGGAGGGGCCCTCTTGTCGACATAATCAACGACAACCGATGCTTCAACTCCACTCCAGCCGCTGGGAAGCGGTGGCGGGTTTTGTTAAAAATGTTATTCGAGACGGACAAGTCGGCGTTAACTGAGCTGCTCAGTGAGTCTCTCAACGGCAGACACGTGCGCGATCCCTCACCTTCATTTTTAGGTCGCATCACGACTGCGCCCTCGGCCAATATCTTCACCAACAGAGAATACGAGATGCTGTTGCGCTCGTTGAATCTTCGACGGCTGTCCTATGTCGTCCTGAGCGGGGAGAAGAACCAGTTCTTGACCCAGCTGCCGACCATTCAAGAAAAGCTTGTCGACACACTGCGGAACGTCAACGCGCCTGTCGTGCAGTGCGAAGTCTACCTTTGTGTACGAGTGCTCCTCTGCCGTCTCTCGCCGCACAACTTGTCCAGCTTCTGGCCGACCATCCTGACCGAGCTGGTAAGCGCGATTACTCTGAAACGTTGAGATTCCGCTCACGCGCGCTTGTGCAGTATCGGGTCCTCGAATCGGTGCTGTTGACACTGCCGTCGGACGGATCTGAAGAGCTGAGCTTGGTTCTTGCTGCAAGTAAACTCCTTGACCTGTTGCTCGTACTTCAGACAGAAGAGTTCCAAGTGTAAGTTGTTCGGAGCTATCTGTTGGGACAGCACGCTGACGGACAGGCAGCCACCAATGGATCTTCATCACGGACACCGTCGACGCCATTTACAAACCGGAGAACTTTACCCCTGTCGCGCTGCTCGATCGCCTGTCCGAGACAGCCGGACAACTCCCGAGCGAAGGGGTCCGTCCTCTCTTTTCTGCACGCTGCCTATTCCGTGCTAACAGCTGCGCAGGAGACAGGCAAACATCGTGACCAGCACGGCATCCTGCAGTCGCCCGTGACAGAGACCCGCCGTCTGCGCCGGCCGCTGCTCAACTCGATACACCAGATCGACAGCATCCGCGACCTCATTCCTTTCTTCTCGCAAGTGAGCATCACGTCGTACGAAAGCGTGTACAGCAGCGGCGGCAACGTGGACTGGGAGGCGGTTGAGGACGGTATGTTCCAGGACATGTTCGAAGGACGATAGGTAGTTGTAGTACTTAGATGTAGTACTTGAGGGCCTGTATTTTCATCTTTCGTGTGCTTATCCAGATGTTATTTTTATGCGCAGTGCATCTCGCTTCTGCAGAGCGATTTGGCCAACATACAATGATACATTCCAAAAACCGGAAAGCAAGAGACAGCCCACTCGAAAAGATGACACCCAATGCGTACGCAGACCGGAACCCGCTGTGCACCGACAGAAAAAAAAATCAAAAGTCAGCCCAGGCACGACGGAACTTGTACTGCACACGACCCTTTCGTCAGCGTTCAACAATCCGAGAGTCGACTCGCCCGATGACAGTACCTTGTACGGGAGGTTCTTCTTGAGGCGGTCCGCCGGCAGGCGCGGCGACTTGTACCCGTCCTCGCCCTGGCCCCACTCGTCCGCGCCGGCGCCGGCGGCCTTCGCCTTCTTGATGCGCTCGATCGGGTCCTCCTTGTCGAGGTCGGGCAGGCGCGTGAAACGCGGCGCGTCCGCGGCGTGCGGGGGCTCGCCGTCGTCGAGCGGCTGCTGCTGCTGCTGCTGTGCGCCGTCGGCCGGCGGAGGGGTGACGGCGCCGTCGCCTTCGGGCGCGGGCTCGTGCTGTTGCAGCGCCTCCTCGACCGAGATGCCCTGGTACTTGGCCTCCCGTGCGGCCTCCTCGCGCTCGATCTGCTCGTGGTGCGCAAAGTGCTCGAGGTCCTCGGGGTGGACGTAGGACTCGTCGGTCTGTGTCTCGGGTGTGGAGTGGTATTGCTCTGGCCGGGTGAGTCAGGTCAGTGGGGTCGGAAGGGAGGGGTAGAGAGGTGCGCCGTGTTTTGACTCACCTTCGTGATGCAGGAAGAATTCTAGGGGGGTTCGGAGGTGAGAAGGATGCCGGTGTCAAGTGTTAGGTGTCGGGCGTACCGCTCTCCACGTCATAGTGATGCCCCTCTGCACCGAGGTCTTCAAAGTTCGGCAGACCATCCAAGCCTACGGCTTTCAGCTCATCCAGACTGATTTTTCCGTCGCTATTCTTGTCCATCAGGTTGAGGACGGTGTCGACGATGTGGTCCGCCTTCTTCTGGTGCTCGATATCGTCCTGAAGGAGCGTTGGTATGTGTTCTCGGAGGGCTATGGTGAGTTTACCTTTGACTTTCGCTGCGAGTAGATGTGGTGTACGCCATAGACGGCCTCAATCTCTTCACGGTCCCATGACATATCTCTGTGGTCCATACGTCAGGGCCTTGTAACGCTGTGAAGGTCGCCAGACACACCGGTTCAAATCATGAAGCTGGAAGAAGCTACCGATATCGAAAGCGTCTCTGCCATCTCGTGTCAGCACCACATACGTTGAGGATGGCATGCGCATACATGTGATGTTCTGTGGACATCTTAAATTCATTTCGAGCACAGATTAGCTTCCTGAGCAGCACGTAGAGATGCCTCCGTCACTCACATGGCGCTGCGCATACTGCTGGATAGTCTCTCCGGGAACACGTTCGCTGTCGCTGTGCCCACCATGCGCCCTGACGAGCTGGATGCTGGAGGCGAGGAGGAAGCCGGAGAGAACGTGCATTTGTGGAGGTGATGAGTGTTGCTCGTCGAGCTCCTCGGCAAGCCGGAGGTCGGGCGCTTGGCGTCGTCGCGACCAAGCGTGATCGGGCGAATTGTTGGGAGACACCGCTGGACTGCTTTAGGAAGGTGCTTAGGATTGTCACGCGAAGGCGCCCGAAAGCTGCAAGAATTCTTAGTATGGAAAAATGAAAATGTCGCCATTTGTGCACCCCGAGGCTAATGTTGCGGATTATTAAGACTTCGCAGTCTTTTGACGGTGCTAAATGCCGAAGAAATAAGACGAGTCTCGTAACAGCTTGGGCATAAACTGTTGCCACAGTCTGCTAACGAGACAGCCAATATACTGCCTTTGCCTTTCGCAGCCAACGCCGCGCACGGTAGCGTCGGCAACTCTTCACCGCTTCCCCGCTTCCCCGAGGTAGGATTCATATTCCCTGCGTCTAAGGCGTCCGATACCCGCATCCGACGGACGTATACTTCGCGCTACAGGCGCGATAGAAGCCACCTGTGCGGGGCGGAAGGCGCTGCATTAACACACACTACTTGCATGAGGCTCAGTCCAGGAGGCAGCCTGCGGTCGCGTGTAACCGCTTCATGCGATAACCGCAGCTGCTCGCTACCGCAGGAGGCCCTTGGCTGCGTGATCGCGAGTCATTCTCCGCGGTGTCGTGCAATGCAGCAGTCAGTTGCTGTGGCGGCGGGGCCGTTGGACTGCGACGAGCGCCGTGACTCATTGG